TCTATTATTACTCTCCAAATCATATCAAATATTTATCAGGGTAATTCTCTAGTTATCACCACCGATTGCAAGCCTTAGTCACGTAGTAAATCTTGTTAGTGTCATCCCTGGGAACGTGTCTCGTCTGTCTCCTCAGCCAAGCGCTGCATAAACCAGGTTGCCCCAGGGGAATGTGGCTTATGGGAAAGTGAGTGGTGAAGGAGGAGGTGGAGGCGACCAAAGATGGTGTCATGCTTCCCAAATCTCTTTTCTCCCAGGATGCAAGACTAGGTCAGTTCAGGATGGGGCTAACGGGAGGTCATGCTTGTGGCGTGTAGGAAGGGACCTCTGTTAGGCCACATCAGCTGATACTTCCCTGATGTGCTAGGTGCTGCACAAATAATAAGCTAGTTACTAACCAGAAACTGTCTGAAATAGGCAAGGCTAAAAAAAAGAAAGGTGTATTAACCTGAGATAAAGTGAGTTACTCAGAGCCACACAGGGAGTCAGCAGCGGAGTCCAGAACTGAGACTAAGGTCTGTGAACCTGAGGGTAGTGGATCAGTTACACGATCATTGCTCTTGGAGGACTGTGGCTGGCTTGAAACTGTGCTGTTCCCAGAGGAGCTGTAAGTCAAGACAACCTTGACATCTCTGGTAGCCATGCCAAGGACTCTCCTCTTCCCCCCGCTGCATAAAGGACTAGCAAATACAGCCACTCTAGCTGTTTGTTGCTGTTGTTGTTGTTGTTGGCATCAAAATGTTTCCAGATTGTACCTATTTTTAAACTCTTTATTGGGTCAGATCTGGACAGCTTGGAGACTTCAGCTCTTTTCTCCTTCTACCCCTGTGCACATAACTTATAGCTGCAAAGGGAAGAAATGAGCAGCAAATTTCCTCTGCCAGAACCAATCAATCTGGCACCTGTCATCAGCATCACAGCAGCTATAAAATATTTAATTTCTTAATGATGAATTGGCAGATTGTTTAAAAAAGACAACAAGGAAACAAAGAAAGGGAAACAGACACTCACAATCTGCAGTCACACTCTTTGCCAGGCTGAGCCTTTAGAGCCAATAGAAGAAATGTGTTTTTCCATCCAGGCTACCTGACAGTGTTGTCTATTAATAAATCCCTGCTTGTTGTTTTTGGGTTACTCCGGTTCAGACAGTCATTGCACCCTTGACTTGCCATCTCAGGGCCCCTCTAGAGATTCCTGATGAGACTTAGCCTTCAGAGGAGTCTCTCTTCAGAAAACAGAGAAGCAACTTCTCAATGGCACAGATCTTTCCTCCCTTACTTATACGTGCCAGTATAAATTAGGAAATAAGAATGACCAGACTGGGTCAGACCAAAAGTCCATTTAGTCAAGTATCCTGTCTCTGGAAGTGACCAATAGTGGATGCTTCAGGAAATGCATAGGAATAGGTCAGTCATACAGCACTACTTCTCTAGCAGCCTCCAGCAATCTGCAGTGCAGGGAGGTCTTTGTGGTTGCTAGCTCCTACTAGAATTTTCTTCCATGAACTTACCTAGCCACTTTTTAAACTGCTGCAAACTTTGAGCATCCACAAAATCTTGTCGGAAGCAGTCCCAGTGTTCTACCATGCACTGTATGAAGCTGTTCATCTTATTCTGTTTTCAGCATGTCACCTGCTAATTTAACTGGATGTCCACAGTTCTTGCCTTAAAAAGACAGTGAAAATCATTCTCTCTTCACATCCCATCACTTGGATATGTTTGGCTCACAAAATAGGGAGCAGCACAGAGATGCCTGGGCTAATGGAGATGAGAATCAGTAAGTCTACAATGGATAGTCTCATTTCACAGGATATGTCAGCGTGGAGCGTGCCCAAGCTAATATTGTCTGCCTCTGGCACCTCCTGTTGTAAGCTTAGTGGGAGGCCTGAGTCCTTATCCATATTATGGTCTATTTGCAAATCTTTCACATTAAGGGGAGGGGGACGAGTGTTCACAACCTAAAAAACCAAGAAGGATCATTGCAAAGGGAATGTCTTGCAGGCAAAAAGACCCTCTGCTGAAGTTGTATGAATTACTTAAAGGACTTCAAAAAACGTCTTCTCTGTCCCCATGTCAATTTATATCCATTCCACTTGCACCTTAGTAGATCTAAATACATAGGCAGGCAAACTGCCTAGACAAAGAGTTCTTTTTACTGTAGCCTGTTCTGATGGGCTTTATTGCAAATTCAAAGATATTTGTTTCTTTGTTTGTTTAAGTTTTAAGCTGTATTTCTGGAACCCTTTAAGGAAGAGAGAGTCATACGGTTTTGCTAAAGCAAATACAAACTTTTAGCCATCACAGTTGCAGAGAAAAACATGAAAACAGGAGTTCTAAAGTCTCAGAAAAAACACTCCAAAACCCTTGAGAGAGGAAAAGGAAGTGAACATTTCTTATTTGTCACTGTTTATTATTTTTAAATCAATCTCATGATATGAAGTAGTGACGCTGCGCAGTGGCATGACCGAACCTACACGATTCATCTGGGCTCGGGAGCTCGCTAGAAGATTTGGCAGACGCAAGTGGGTGGCTGGCAGCTCGTGCACGGAGCCTTCGTTGCTTCCTCCTCTGCCTCTCTGTGCGGGGGACGTGGAACGGGGGCTCCGACAGATGTCTGTGGGGGGATCGATCAGTTGTGCTGAGCCTGATTGTGACTACCCTGACTTCAGTATGGGATAGTAATGCCTGGTAGGTAGCAAGGGGAAAATAACACCGTAGCTAAAACAGCTTGATTCACTGGGAGATGTCTGGCAGAGTCCTTGGGTTTTGCCTGCTCCAGGGATTTCTTCTGGCCCTAACGCAGACATCTTGTTTAAACAGGCTGACAAAGTCTCCTGTGGTCCCAGTAGGACTTAATCCTTTCTGAAAAGGGGTCAGGACAATTAGCAGCAGTGACCATCACCACTGGGAGCTGGTATGCGATTGCAAACTGCCGCTTCAGACCTCACTCCCTGCTTGGATGCGGCTGCTAGAGAGCGAGCCATGGTTTTCTCCCGCTCCCATGCAACATCTCCAACATCCTGTGAAAGGATGTTTCTGCATGCACCAAAGCCTAGTGCGCTCCTAGGGGCTGGTTGTTTTGGCACAGGGATAAGATGAAATCAAAGGCCTGTACTCTCATATCAGACAGCTTGTTTTCCTCTTAATTCTGGATCTCTGTCTTCTACTGATGGTGTTTAAAAGAGAAGTTGCTGCATCGATCCTGTCTAATATCCCTTTGAAAGTGTTGAATGGAAAACATCCTGCTTATCTCTAATCAAAGCTGTGATTTTCTCTGCCTCTGGGCCAAAACACCGCAAACAGACTTGGCCCTTCTGGCAGCACTGGATGCTGAGCAGGCACGGGGCTGCCTGCTACCTTTTTGGTCATGGGGAGCACTTGGAAACCAGTCTGTTCCCGCTGTGCAACTGGGCAGCAGGTTTTCTGGGGTGTGCAAAGGGAATGCAGAAAGACAGCAATCCAGCAATTCCTAGCTAGGTGGTAGCTGATTGCAGCATAGTGAGTCTGAAGAGGTATCTCTTTCCAACCTATTAAAATAGACTACAACACCAGCAGAAACTGGGAAATGTGACTCAAAACGGAGGATGGAAGAGGGATAAGACTGATTGGTAGCTAGACACCCACAGCAAGAGAGCATCTCAGCAAAAATACTTGCATCCTACTGTTGTCAACGAGATTTCAAATTAAACATATGCTTAAGTACAGAAGGGACTAGGAGAATAGTTGGTTACAGGAAGTTTTTGGCTTTCAGTTGTAGAAGGAATATGTTATGGGAGGTGTCCTTGGGAGGAACACGGCCCTCTCTACCACAGCACCTTTTCTATAAAGCTTTAGCAAAGAGTGTGAGGTTAAATAGACTCTGTTTTCCTTTCTTCCTTGTCACCCAAAGTCAGAGCAGAGGGCCAGTCTGCAGGCGTTCCCCCTCCCTTGACTCCTTGCCAGACGTGCCTAGCTGGAAACCTTCCTCCAGATGGAGCAGACTAGAAAAGGTAAGAAAAAGCAGAAAAGAAAGAAATGAAAATGTATGATTGCCCCTAATTTTGATTGTGGTTTTGCTGCCGTGTAGACCACTATAAAATGAATGTAAAATATTGTGATTCCACTCTAATAACTTTTTACATCCATTCGCACTGGCATAAATTTCCTCTGAGCAGACATTTTTGTCAGAGCCGGGTTTAGGCAGATTCTTGGCTTTATAGTTTGATTGAACAGAACCTACTTTCTCCAGAATATCTTTTTTCATTAAAAAGTAATAACTGAGCACGGCCAACCAAAGTCATGTAGTGTCGTGAGTGTAGCCCAGCTGGAGAATTTTAGTGTTAGAGGAAACAAGGAATATGGAGCATTGGGATGGGGGCATTTCCAGAACTAATTATTCCAGTTTTCAGTCAAAATAGTTTAGTTTTCTGTTAGTTTGCTAGAAAAGTCAAAATTTCAGTGAAAAAGCTTTGACAGAAGAGGATTTTTGGCTGAATTTCTCCCAGAGATCACCTTTCCCTCCGGCTTTTCTACTGTTATCCTACCTCATCCCTCTGTTTTTTCTCCAGTTTTCATAAATATACATGCTGGCTCATATCTGTGGTGGGCTGGAGATTCACCCCTTTACCTTCCAGTCTCTGGGGAAAGCCTTGCTGAGGCTGCTGCAGATACGTGGCCCAGAAGAGCAGCTTCCCAGAAAAGTCCTTTCCGTCCCCAGTCCTTCCCTACAGGTCGCTGTTGTCACCTCCAGGGATTTCATGGAGAAGCCCGGCGGTGTTTGAAAGCTGCCGCTTCAGGAGTAACGTGAACAGGAAATTGCGGGCAGCCGATTTCAAAAGAAAAATGAGTCTCTGGCCATTATAGGTGTGGAAAAGACGCTTGAAAAGATAAAAAAAAGAACGTATGTAAGAAAAGCCGACATCTGACGTAAGGGTGTGTGACCGCCGGCGGCGGCGGTGGGGTGGACGGTCCCTGCTCCTCATCGGCGGCTCAGAGAGCCGGGAAAGGAGGGCCATGACGTTAGGGAAAGGGACCGGACAACGTGGCAATGGCCTGGGAGGGAGCAAAATGAATTTCCCCGAGGTCTCCTAGGAGCTTGTAACAGCAGACCCAGGTGCCAGTCGACGAGTTTTATTCACAGAGGGAGGAAGCGCTTCTTTTCCTCGCCATCTTGGCCTGGTGCACGGAGCCTGCCAGGCCTGGCCCGGCCCAGCCCCACCGCCGTGCTCCACCTT